GCTAATAAAATCTGCCAGAATTCTTTGTGCTTTTCCACAAAGCTATAAGCCCTCTTCCATAGCTTGAGCTGCACTTTGTCCAGAAAGGACAGGTAGCTTACATCAAAATCTGTTGGCACTGTAGCCCAAGAAAACATTTTTCCAGGGACATCTTAGTACCTTAATTCTCAGTCCAGGGAAGTCAAGCAGCAAGTCTCAAATCTTAGCCCTGGCCATAGCTCACTGCCGTCAGGCTTGTGGTGAAGCAGCAGCATCCCCAAACAAGTATTTTTGCTTAAGTCGCTTTAGCTATATCCACAGTCGAGTAAAGGTGCTATCACAACTCCTTTACCAACTGGCTCAGAACTGGGTGCAGGGGTATTGCAAACTTAAAGGATGATTGTTGCAAGGTTAGATCTTTCAGGAAACCCACAGGGCTGGACAGGAACCAAATGATAATTGGTGACTTTAGTCATCTATTCTAAAATGTGTGGAAAAGTTGATCTTCCAGGGGAGTTCCTTGTCTTTTTCCTCTGTGGATGTACATTTGGTCCTGAATCTCCAGTTTCCCGAGTAGCCAAAGAGCACTTCTTGGTTCAACAGAGCTACCTCAATATGTATGTGAATGAGGGATAGCCAGCACTGCCAAAGCAAGTGGTGACACCAGCTGTCCCAGTAAACTACAAGTAGTACCACTGATAAGAATCACCACTGGCTCAGGTTGCATCAAGACATATTTCAGATACTCCTATGGCACCAAGCTTTCAACCAGCCCTAGTATAGGACGCTGCTTTGAAGCCCTGAGAACAGTTAAAAAGCCCATAATGTAATCAAAGCAATCTACATAAATCACATAATCAGCCTGTCTCCTAGGATATGCAAGCTCCCCCACCCCATGCAACCCTGCTATTCAGACAGTGATTGCTGCAGGCCTTGTGTGTAGTAACTGGTAGGCAGAGAATGAGCAATAATGGTTGTAAGTTGGGGTATATCCCTAGTCAAGCACCAAAAGGGTCATGTCTACACTAAAAAATTATGTTGACTTAAGTTACACTGACATACAGCCACCAGAGTTATGAAATCGCTTTTGCAGGTCCACACTACGCTCTGTCTGTCGGTGTTGCACGTCCTAACCAGGAGCATTTGCACCAATTTAACTGTCCGTGTGGGCCATCGTGGGATGGCTTCTGAAAGCCAGCAACACTCAATGTAAGCAACGCAGTGACTACATTGACACTGAGTCTACTTAAGCCAGGGGTGGGCAGACTTTTTGGCCCGAGGGCTACATCTGGTTATGGAAATTGTATGGCAGGCCATGAATGCTCATGGTTCCCAGCCAATGGGAGCTGCAGGGGCGGTGCCTAGGGCAGGGACAGCGTGTGGAGCCCCTGGCTGCCCCTACACATAAGAGCCAGCGGGGGACATGCTGCTGCTTCCAGGATCCGTGCAGAGCCACAGCATCTGCGGAACAAGTCAAGCCCCAGACCCTGCTCCCCGTCGGGAGTTCAAGGGCTGGATGCGGCCCTGGGGCCATAGTTTGCCCAGCCTTGACCTAAGTGCTATGAAATATTTTCTGTTATGAAAATATTTCTTAATGCAGTTTTTTGTGGAGATATATTTTCAGAGCATCAGACTTACAACCACAGCGTTATTACAGTATACCCATGCATGACCGGCAGCTTAAAGGCCTGATTAAACTAATACTTCTTTAAAAAATTCTTACATATGTTACCAATTGTGTATCAGAGCATTAAACCTAGAAAAAAAATCAACACATTTGCTTTTTGCTCAGCACTGAACAGTAAAAAAATGAAATTAATCAATTTTTCTTTGCACTCATCATATAGTTGCTGTAACATTTGGTTTGCAAATGCCATGGGGAATATATAAAAGCTTGCATTTACAATTCCTAAACTGAGGGAATATATTAAACTGGCAACGTACCTTTTTACATACCATATCAGCAAGTACACATGCACACGGCAGTAAGCATCATCAGAGCACTAGGTACTATCATATTGCAGTATTGGTTCCAAAAGGCAGAAAGCAGATAGACAGACACCAGAAGAGATAGCACAACTGGAGACAAAGCTCACAATTCCCTTCTGATGTTTGAATGTGATGTATTAAGTAATACTTATATGCACACATAGCTATGCTCTCATTGTCATTACCATCACTATGTATACCCATGCTCATCCTTTGAACGACACTAAAGAAGTCAGAAAAAGAAAAGGCCTATTACAGCATGCAGCTAGTTCTGCCAACCACGGGACTGTTCCCTGTGGTATACTGCTTATAAGAAAACCCCAAGAATTATAAACATCAGAATTCTGAACTGATCAGTCAACCACACACGTCATTTAGAACCAGAAGTAGGCAATCAGGCAGCAGCAGAGACAAAACAAACAAAAAACAAATATAGTACAGTACTGTGTTAAGCACTCAGGGAAAATAAAGGGAAAATTTAAAAGTAAAGATTTGATGAAGTAAGGAAACTGTTTCTGTGCTTGCTTCATTTAAATTAAGATGGTTCAAAGCAGCATTTTTCTTCCGCATAGTAAAGTTTCAAAGCTGTATTAAGTCACTGTTTAGTTGTAAATTTTTGACATAACCAAATTGTTTTGTTCAGCGTTATGTGTATTTCAGAGTTATGAACAACCTCCATTCCCAAACTATTCATAACTCTGAGGTTCTACTGTACTACTTTGGCTGAGTACAGTTTGAGATGTCCAACCTAAGTAATGTAATACTTTGGCCTACCTTTGGTGGTTGGGTTTAAGTATGAGGGTACTGTTGGTGGCCTGTGATATATAGGACATGAGACTAGACCAGGAATTCTCAAACGGAGGTCACCGGTTATTACCTGGCGGTGTCACAAAACAGCAGCCCACATTAAATTAAAAAACCCTGTTTTAATTTATAAGGGGGGGCGTTGTCACACTCAGAGTCTTGCTGTCTGAAAAGGGCTGTTGCCTCTACAAGAAGTTTGAGAACCACTGGAGTAGTTATAGACTCTACTGAGGTTTCTACCATTTCCCTGATATTTAGTACATTTCCCCCTCTTTCAGTAATTCCAGTATATTTCTCTGTGGTGCTGCAAGTCACCTTAAGGAGAGCTACAAAACCTATAAATATAAGAAGTCATCTCTAAGTTGTTACATGAAGGGGCCTCACAGCAGCTGTAGCTCCTATGTTGGAATCTCTGCACACAAGAAACCACACCAGAGAAAAAGAGAGCCCTGAACAAGGGCATGCAGACCAGCTGCCGCTCCCCACCTCTAAAGCATCACAGCACGATGGGGTAATCTGACAGGCATACAAAGCCAATAAGTGGTACGAAGCTTAAAAGTAGTGGCTATTCCCCCCTCACAGCAGTAACATGTTATATAAATCTAACAGAACAAATTATGTATACAGCCCGCCCAAAGGTTTAACAGATGGATCTACATCCAGTTCCTTCATCCCGATCATACAGTTGACGCTTCAGAAGAAAATTAGGAAAGATTTTTGTATTTAGTTTCATTTATTCTGGTAAAACCAAAAAGAGATTTTCCACATCCCTCCCCTCCACCCCTGTAGGGCAGCTGACCCCTCTCCCAGCCATTCCCCCCCCACATCCCTTCTGCCCCTGCAGGGCAGCTGAGTGCCCTCCGCCCCTGGCCCCCCACATCTCCCCCATCCCCCACAGGGCAGCTGAGCCCCCTCCAGCCATTCACCCCCACATCCCCCCCACTCAGGGCAGCTAACCCCCCCCAACCCCCACATCCGCTCCACCCCCGCAGGGCAGCTAATCCCTCCCAGCCCCCCCACATCCCCTCCGTCCCGCAGGGCGGATGATCCAGTCCCCCCACATCCCCTCCGTCCCGCACGGCAGCTGACCCAGTCCCCCCCAGCCCCGCCACATCCCCTCCGTCCCGCACGGCAGCTGATCCAGTCCCCCCCAGATCCCCTCCGTCCCGCACGGCAGCTGACCCCCCGCCACCCAGCCCCCCCCACATCCCCTCCGTCCCGCAGGGCAGCTGATCCAGTCCCCCCCAGCCCCCCCACATCCCCTCCGTCCCGCAGGGCAGCTGATCCAGTCCCCCTCAGCCCCCCCACATCCCCTCCGTCCCGCACGGCAGCTGACCCAGTCCCCCCCAGCCCCGCCACATCCGCTCCACCCCCGCAAGGCAGCTGATCCAGTCCCCCCAGCCCCCCCACATCCCCTCCGTCCCGCACGGCAGCTGATCCAGTCCCCCCAGCCCCCCCCACATCCCCTCCGTCCCGCACGGCAGCTGATCCAGTCCCCCTCAGCCCCCCCATCCCCTCCGTCCCCACGGCAGCTGATCCAGTCCCCCCAGCCCCCCCACATCCCCTCCGTCCCGCACGGCAGCTGACCCAGTCCCCCCCAGCCCCGCCACATCCGCTCCACCCCCGCAAGGCAGCTGACCCAGTCCCCCCCAGCCAGTCCCCCAAACCGCCCACCCCCTTGCCGTGAGGGGCCCCCTCCCCGACACAGGGCAGTGCGGAGCACGGATGTCCCGCCCCAGCGAGGCCCGCTACCTTTCTCCTCCCGGCTGTCCGCCGCCATCCCGCCGCCGCCGCCGCCTCCCCTCAGGGGCCGGCCGCCTCGCGCTCTGCTCACAGCGCCGGCGAGGCGGGACGCTGGGGGGCGGGGCGGGGCGCGCGGCCGCGCGGAAGAGGCGGGCGCGGAAAGGAGCAGGGCTGCGGGGTCTCGTTGCGGGCCGGGCCGCCGAGCGTCTGGCTGGAGAGCCCCTAAGATGGAGGCGGCTTCCTGCGTGCAACAATCCCCCTCCCACAATGCACCGCTTTGTTTACGCTTCTGGCGTCATAATGCAGACTGCGTCTGACCTCATCGCGCAGAGTCCGCCCGGAAGGGCTCCAAGTAGATCAGGTGGGGGCAGGCCGTGTCACGTGACTCCGCAGGGCGCCCTCGGCCGCCGCCATCTTGCGCCTGGGCGGGGTCAGCGGCCCGCCTTGCCCGACGCTCCCCCCCCCCCCCCCCCCCGCGTCCCCTCAGGCGCTCCCCGCCATAGAGGACCCGGAGCGGCTCCTCGAGGAGCTGCTGGGCCGGGGGCAGGAGCATTGGGGCGAGCGCGGCGGCGGCGGCGGCGCTTGTTGTCTGGGCCGGGCGTGCCGCGGGGGGCAGCGCAGAGGGCGTTAGCGTGCCGGAGCCGGAGCCGGCCCGCGCCAGTCCCCGGGGGTGGCCGCCCCTGGCTGCGCAGCCCCCACATCCCCCAGAAACGGGCTTTAGCCCCCTCCCGTCCAAGACCCAGCGGGCTCCCCGGCCTTGGTAGAGCTGCTCCCGGGTGGGGGGGACCAGGCGGCAAGGGTGAGAAGCCAGGACGGGGGTGGGGGGTATTAGGTGCCTATATAAGAAAAAGTCCCCCCCCCCAAGTCGGGATTGTCCCTATAAAAGGGGGACGTCTCGTCACCCTACTCCCCGCGCCACGGTGCGAGGCGGGATTTTGCAGACGTTAAGGGTGCGCGCAGAATTCCCGCCCCCCAGTAATGGGCTGCAGAGAGGTTGGCCGCCATGGGGCTGCTGGGCCCGGCAGAGGCCAGCTCACACATAGAGGGTAAGGCCAGGGGGAGGGAATTGGAGGGTTCCCTGAAACTGCCATTCCCAGCGCATCCTGGAGGAAGGAGGTGGTGGCGCGCAGGAAACTGTGCAAGCTTGGGACCCAGCATCAGGCTGTTTTTCCTTCTGGATCCCTGGGCTCTAGCAGGGTAGAGGCTGGGGCTGGGGGTTCCCACAGCTGGCGTCTGGAAGGAGAGGCGGTCTGGGTTGGGGGTGTGTGGCTGGGCTTTGGGGAAAAGGGGGGGTGTAAGTGTCTGATGAGCACACACACACCCCCCCAGCTGGGATCTGGGGGGTTGAGGAGGCAGAGAAGCAGGAACTAAGTTGCCTTAGGGGTTTCTTTAATTCTCTATTCCTGGGGGAATTTTTGTTCGTGTCTGTTGTTACAAACATACTTGCTGACAGGTATTTTGAAATAAATTACCAAAATAATTGAAACTGGTGTGATTATATAGTGTTATTTTGACAAAATTTGCAGAATTTTAAAATATTGTGCGCAGAATTTTTAATTTTTTGGTGCAGAATTCCCCCTGGAGTATAGAGCACAGGGTACCGCTCCATTATAAGGTGGGGCTGGGTAGGTTGCATGGACAGGCCTAGGCAGGCTGCTCCCCTCTCTGCGTCCTCGAGGGAAAGGTGAGAGAAGGAAACTGTAAGCTAAATAGCATAACAGCTGGTTAGAAATAAAACTCTGTAAGTCAGTGGTTTTCAACTTGTGGGCCCTGGACACTTAGGGAATCCACAGACTAAGATTTCTAAAGGCGTCTGTACTGCCATTCAATATTATTTAGGGTTCTGCAAATAAAAAAAATGTGTTAAACCCCTGCTGTAAGTATTATTCAGAATGTTATAAAAAAGATTATACAACCTGCCCCTACACACACACTCCTTCCCTTAGTGAGCACCACCACCTTCAGGTGATTGTCTTCACCAACAGCTCTGTAATTTGATATGTCTAAACTGCAGTTAGACACCTGCGGCTGGCCCGTGCCAGCTGACTTGGGCTAAAGGGCTATTTAATTGCGGTGTAGATATTTGGGCTGGGGCTGGAGCCTGGCTCTAGGGTCTTTTTTTTGAGGTGGGAGGGTCCCAGAGCTCAGGCTGCCTCCTGAGCCTGAACATCTATGCTAAAATTAAGCAGCCCCACAGCCTGAGTCAGCTGGTATGAGCCAGCCACAGGTGTGTAATTGCGGTGTCGACATACCCTGAGTCACACCGTCATAGCTATACTGGCAGAGTCCCCTAGTGTAGATGCAATGTATGCAGACAGGAGGATGTCGTCTTTTGGCATGGCTACATCACCTCCCTGAACGGTATTATCTAAGGTGACAGAAGGCAGCTTCTGTTGGCATATTTGTGTCTACACTGGAGGTTTTGTTGGCATAGCTATGTTGTCTAGTGGGTTTGATTTCCCCCCCCCCCCTCCACACCTCTTGACAGACATAGTTATGCCAGCAAAATGAGTCGGTACGCTACTTCTGGAAAGTTTAGTAAGACCCATTAGTCCTCTACAAAGTTTCAGTGACATTTAAATAGCTTATCTCATTTAATCTTCTGCCAGGGATAGTAATGTCACAAATGCTGGGTTAATATGAATGAGGTTTATTACAGTAGTAATCCACCAAATCTAACTGCATTTCCAGAATCAGCAGCATTAGGCACTCACAGTCCCTAATGACAGCCTTATCTTTCAGTGGGAATTTAATTAATTAATGCGTTATTTTCCTCTCTCTTCCGTACTAAGGGAAGTAATAATACGTTAATTCAGTCCAAATGCCAGTTGTGTTGCTTATAATTATTTTCTATACCTGATGACGAGATGTATCAGCACTTACACATTTAGGGAAGAAGTTGCTGAAAGATTTAGTCTCATTGACTTCAGTGGAGCTATGCTGATTTACATCATCTGAGAATCTGGCTCAGCAGCTTACATGGTGCTAAGCCTATTTACTCCAGCTAAGGATTTGGCCCATCATGTTTCTACTTATGTTAATAGCAATAATGACAGTAGAAAAGGAAGACTAAATAACCAAAATTATTCTTCTTACACCCTTACACCATAGGGTTTTTTTTTATTATTTATTTATTACAGTAGTGCCTATGAGCCCCATTCACGGACCAGAACCCTACTGTGGTAGGCACTGCACAAACATGTCGCAGAAAGATGGTCCCTGCCCCAAGGAGTTGATGTAAGTACTATCTGCTTCCTCCTTGCACAGAAAATCAAAAATGTACAGTACATTTGTTGCTATTAAACGCTTGACAACACAGTGGGCCAAATTTTCTGCTGAGAATGGGCAAAACTCCATTTAAGTCAATGGAGCGCTGTCCATTTACAGCAGCAGAGAATTTACCCATATTTTGCAATATTCCAAATTCTGGATCCTTGATGTAAATTGGTGTAGCTCCATTGTAGTCATTGGGGTCAGATTCTCAGTTGGTGTAAATCAGCATAGCTCTACTGAAGTCAGTTTACACCAGCTGAGACTCTGGCCCTGTAAGTGCATTGTAGGAGAGGAAATGTCACAAACAGCAGTGTTATGAAGTGGCTGAAACTGTGTTAGGGTTGATTTAAAACCTCACTGAGATTGGTAGGTGTGAATACTCCCTTCAGTTAACATAACTGTGAGGATAAGTTGATCAAAATCCTCCATCTAAGACAAAATGGTTATGTGAGCCTGCCCAGGACTTTTGGACTCTGTGGGCGGAGGGTTTTTTGCTGAGTTATTGTTTCAGGTAAGGATGTCTGTATGTGGGGAAAGGAGAACACAGAACCACAGAGAGGTCAGCGTGAAGAAATCCAAGCAGAACCCTGTGAGCATGGCATGACCCTGATATAAACCTTGAGAGAAGTTCTGGGTCAGGGATGCTGGCTGAAAAGAAGTGTGAGCCTGTAAGTTTAAAAAAAATATTCCTTTTGTTTCTTGTTCCTTCCACCTTTGGAGAAGCAGGATTTTGTACATTCCTGGTAAATGAATAAGAATGAATAAAAGAAAATACCTAACTCCATAAACAATTTCGACTCCTATCTGAAATATCTCTAGGTCCCCAAACTTTGACAAGCTACTTGGATAAAAAAGGACAAAAAAAGCAACAATAATTTTATCTGAACACAGTAATTTTCATGGTTCCAATTCCCCAGCTAATGTAACTGGTGTAACCCCATTCAACGTAGCTACACTGATTTATGACAGTAAGCATCTGGCTTCATATTTTCAGTGGTGATCACTGCAATTTTCATCATCGTTTTCTTTTGTCACATTTACAGTTGAATACTTAAATTTAAAAAGAAAGGCTGCTATGAATGCTGGCCTTTTGCTATCTATTTTGGGGGTCTCTGTGGGTATGTCTACACTGCAATAAAAGACCCATGGAGAAGGCACAGCTGTGGCTGGCTGGAATTAGCTGATTCGGACTCATGCTGCGGGGCTAGAAATTGCAGTGTCAGCGTTCGGGCTCAGGCTGGAAGGGATGGGTCTCAGAGATGGCGTCCAGCCTGAGCCCAAACATCTACGCTGCAATTTTTAGCCCTGTAGCATGAGCCACTCAAGCCTGAGTCAATTGACCCAGACTCTGAGACTTGCCACGTTTTTAATTGAAGTGGAGATGAACCCTGATATGCATTTGGGGCCCTCTGCAGTTATGCCACGGGGTTGGGGAGATAGTGTCTCCTCCCTGGCACCTCTGTCAGGTATTTGCCTTACACTCCTCTGTGCACAAAGATCCGTGCTTGCAACAGTGCTAACTTTTCCACAGGTATTTACTAGGAAACCCACTTTGTCCCAAAATTTTGTGTCTGGCGCACTGTGTAAAATACGTCTTTGAAGCTCATAACACTTCCCAGAGATTACACTGATCATGTCTCCCACCTAGAGAAGTTACAAACAATCCCACAATGGCACATACATTTTGCATTTTTAATATAATGGACTCCAAAGCTACTTAAACTTAATTTAATAAGGTTTTGCAAACACCGTGCAGGAAATTGCCATATCTGTCACAAATGCATTATATCCAGTTAATGGATATAATGGGTTGTCAAGCAATTAAAAAAATTAATTGTGATTAATTGCGCAATTAATCGCACTGTTAAACAATAATAGAATACCATTTATTTAAATATTTTTGGATGTTTTCTATATTTTCAAATATATTGATTTCAATTACAACACAGAATACAAAGTGTACAGTGCTCATTTTACATTTATTTTTGATAACAAATATTTGCACTGTAAAAAACAAAAGAAATAGTATTTTTCAATTCACCTAATAAAAGTACTGTAGTGCAATCTCTTTAGCATGAAAGTTTGAACTTACAAATATAGAATTATGTACAAAAGATAACTGCATTCAAAAATAAAACAATGTAAAACTTTAGAACCTACAAGTCCACTCAGTCCTACTTCAGCCAGTTGCTCAGACAAACAAGTTTGGCTACAGTTTGCATGAGATAATGCTGCCCACGTCTTGTTTACAATGTCACCTGAAAATGAGAACAAGTGTTCACACAGCACTGATGTCGGCAGCATCGCAAGATATTTACATGCCAGATGTGCTAAAGATTCATATGTCCCCTTCATACTTCAGCCACCATTCCAGAGGACGTGTCCACGCTGATGACGGGTTCTGCTCGATAACAATCCAAAGCAGAGCGGAGCGATGCATGTTCATTTTCATCATCTGAGTCAGATGCCACCAGCAGAAGGTTGATTTTCTTTTTTGGTGGTTCGGGTTCTGTAATTCCCGCATCGGAATGTTGCTCTTTTAAGACATCTGAAAGCATGCTCCACACCTCATCCCTCTCAGATTTTTGACGGCACTTCAGATCCTTAAACCTTGTGTGGAGTGCTGTAGCTATCCTTAGAAATTTCACATTGGTACCTTCTTTGAGTTTTGTGAAATATGCAGTGAAAGTGTTCTTAAAATGAACATGTGCTGGGTCATCATCCGAGACTGCTATAGCATGAAATATATGGCAGAAGGTGGGTAAAACAGAGCCGAAGACATACAATTCTCCCCCCCAAGGAGTTCAGTCACAAATTTAATTAACGCATTTTTTTTTAATGAGCATCATCAACATGGAAGCATGTCCTCTGGAATGGTGGCCGAAGCATGAAGGGGCATATGAATGTTTAGCATATCTGGCATGTAAATACCTTGCAATGCTGGCTACAAAAGTGCCATGCGAATGCCAGTTATCACTTTCAGGTGACATTGTAAATAAGAAGCAGTCAGCAGTATCTCCCGTAAATGTCAACAAACTTGTTTGTCTTAGCAATTGGCTGAACAAGAAGTAGGACTGATTGGACTTGTAGGCTCTAAAGTTTTACATTGTTTTGTTTTTGAGTGCAGTTATGTAACAAAAAATCTACATTTGTAAGTTACACTTTCACGATACAGAGATTGCACTTCAGTACTTGTATGAGGTGAATTGAAAAATACTATTTCTTTTGTTTATCATCTTTACAGTGCAAATATTTGTAATAAAAATAATATTTTTGTACACTTTGTATTCTGTGTTGTAATAGAAATCAATATATTTGAAAATGTAGAAAAACATCCAAAAATATTCAATACATTTCAGTTGGTATTCTACTGTTTAACAGTGCGATTAATTGCGATTAACTTTTTAATCACAGTTAATTTTTTTGAGTTAATTGCGTGAGTTAACTGTGATTAATCGACAGCCCTAATTTTTACATATGTCCAGTACAGATGATATAATTTATTGAAGGCAGTATCAGTTTAGATTTGTTGCTTCTGAGGCAGATCTCCAGACTCTGGATGAGTTAAGTTCTATGTAGGTTGTCTCTAAGGGCTTGTCTGTGCATAAAAGCTTGTACGACTTTCTCCATATATTTCTCTCCGGAATAGTTAAAGTGGCACAACTCCCTAGTGTGGCTGCAGTTATATCAAGATAAAAGTGTGGTTTATTTCTATACAGGAAATGGAACAACTATACCAATATAAAGCACCTTGATTCTGGTATAACTGCCTCCACACTAGGGCTTTTACTGGTATAATTATTTTGTTTAAAAAAACCCCACACACACCCCAAGCAAAATAGTTATACTGGTAGCAGGCCTATGTCTCTCTTCCAAATAAACTAAAAGTGTGTTGGGATTTTCTATATTTTACTAATAAGGTGACTTGGATTTTAGAAGTTCAAGGAAAGCTTAGAGAAATACAAACTCTCTAAAGACAAGACCTATAATTTATGAGGAGATGTACGGAACAATCTAAAGGATTTGTACTCTCCATTTCTCTTTACAATTTTTCTCTGACATAGATTGAATACCTCAGTCTTGAAAAGTAGAATAGGATCCCATCATTATATAAAAGTTTGTATTTGTTATTGTTTCAGAGTAGCAGCCATGTTAGTCTGTATCAGGCCCAACAAAGAAAATAACAGAACGCCACTAGCCATCATCTTCAGCTCCCAACTAAAACCTCTCCAACGCATCATTGAGGATCTACAACCTATCCTGAAGGACGACCCATCACTCTCACAAATCTTGGGAGACAGGACAGTAATTGCCTACAGACAGCCCCCCAACCTGAAGCAAATACTCACCAGCAACCACACACCACACAACAGAACCACTAACCCAGGAACCTATCCTTGCAACAAAGCCCGTTGCCAACTCTGGCCACATATCTATTCAGGGGACACCATCACAGAGCCTAATAACATCAGCCACACTATCAGAGGCTCGTTCACCTGCACATCCACCAATGTGATATATGCCATCACGTGCCAGCAATGCCCCTCTGCCATGTACATTGGTCAAACTGGACAGTCTCTACGTAAAAGAATAAATGGACACAAATCAGATGTCAAGAATTATAACATTCATAAACCAGTCGGAGAACACTTCAATCTCTCTGGTCACTCAATTACAGACCTAAACGTTGCAATATTACAACAAAAAGACTTCAAAAACAGACTCCAATGAGAGACTGCTGAATTGGAATTAATTTGCAAACTGAATACAATTAACTTAGGCTTGAATAGAGACTGGGAGTGGATGTGTCATTACACAAAGTAAAACTATTTCCCTATGTTTATTTCCCCACCCCCCCGCTCTTCCTCAGACGTTCTTGTCAACTGCTGGAAATGGCCCACCTTGACTATCACTACAAAAAGGTTTTCTCTCCCCCCCCGCCCCGCCCCCCCCGCTCTCCTGGTGGTAATAGCTCATCTTAAGTGATCACTCTCCTTACAGTGTGTATGAGAACACCCATTTTTTCGTGTTCTGTGTGTAAATAAATCTCCTCACTGTATTTTCCACTGAATGCATCCAATGAAGTGAGCTGTAGCTCACGAAAGCTTATGCTCAAATAAATTGTTTAGTCTCTAAGGGGCCACTAGTACTCCTTTTCTTTTTGTATTTGTTATGTCAATCCCATACCAAACCAAAAGATGGCAGCATTTCATGTTTGATGTACAATTTAGATCACAAATCAGGGTGAAGCATCAGATTTTCCGAGCTGTAACATTTAAAAAAACTCCAATATGTTGCAATCTCTATGTTTAAAAAAAGAAAAGAAAGTTAGTACCCATTTCCTAATTTTTATTGCCATGTGGGCACAGGTGGTTTTTGGCAGGTAGGAAGTCCCTGAGATAGATAGATAGATATTGATATTTTTTGAAGTTCAAGTTGTCTTGTCTCTCCCAGAAGTGGGGAGGGATGTCATATCCTTCTGTCAAAGGCATTCACATACTGATCTCTCCAAAACCAGTACACAGCAGGGCTGTGGAAGTTATTCCATACCCTTTTTCTGGTGCAGGATTGTTTTTCTGAAGTATGTCTGCATATGAGTCCCAATTCAGCAAAACACTTAGCACCTGCTTAACTTTAAGCACCCGCTTAAATTCCATTGAAGTCACTAGGTCTTAATCTAACTTAAGCATAGGATTAAGTGCTTTTCTGAATCAGGCCATGGTTAGTATTTGATTGCTAACTAGCCCTGTGTCTAGAGCTAGATTTATGCAGCATTGGACTTGGCGGGGAGGGGGGAAGATGCCCACCAGAAGTGAGGGTGATTTCCAAGTGTCAGCTTTGTTTCCTTTCTTCTGCTGGTGACAGTGAAAGTGGGGTTACAGTTGAACCATCTAAATTATCCCCTGCCTCCTTTCCACTGGATTGATGCGAATGTTGCCGATAAAAGGTGCCACATATCTGCTGGAAGACACAGATCTCCTTCTCAGCTATTACCTCATTTGAATGTACACAAACGATTGTCCTATGGGACACAAGCAGACTGTCTTGCACAATTACGGTTGGGGTTAAAGAATAGGATCAGGAAGAGTGGTTAGTTGAATGGTACCACGGTGGATGCTTTCATTAAATAGAAGGCCCAACCTCAACTTATCCTAAAATAGACAAATATCACCTAACGGTAGCCAAGGAGGGTATTCGTTTGCAATGAAAACTTGTGTCCAGAACTAGAAACCACTTTTCCCCTCTACGTATTGTAAATTGATGGAAATATGTACAATGAAAAGGAGCTGATGAATACAGATGACTTTAGCCCCTCAAAACTGGAAGCCCCATACAGAACAAGATTGCCTCATGTAATTTTGGGAAATTAAGCCTAGGTGACATATGATGGAAATGTGAAATTTAAAATGTTCGGAGAGGGGTTTCTGGGAAAAAAGATGGGGTTCCTCCCTTTCCAGGAACACAAAACTCCAGAGCCAGATTCCCAAAAGAACTCAGTACCCAAGAAGTCACATTTAAGGCAAGTCTCTGAGCACTAGCTGTCCCCAGTGAGAACAATGAAAGCTTCTGAGTGCTGAGTCCTACTGAAGATCTGAAGTAAAGGTTTGTTGGATATCAGATCTGAAATCTGTCACTGGTACAGGACTGAACGTTGTAACTTGGGCCAGTGTAATTTGGAAGGGGGAAATTCCTCATTTGGGGAAAGAAAGCAGCATTTTTCTGGCAGATTTATTTGTAAAAACCATTGACAGTTGCCCAGCGGTCTGCAGTGTTAGAAGCAGTCCCAGTTGAGATGGATTAGTGAGCAGACTTCAGGATAGATGGTCAAACTTGCAAGATAAACACAATTTATTACATGGCTCTGCAGCATGTGCATGGAGCGTGCATGTATGTATGCATTCGTATATACCGCAACAAGTCTTGATGTTGGAACAAAAATGGGAATCACAGCAGCATGGCACAATATGCCAGGCATCTCCATATCAAAGCAACATGGCATACATACATAATAACTTAAGTGTGACAGCCTGTACCCCTGGCTCACCCTTTTATAAGATTATGATAAATTTTGTACGAAGTATGCCTTGTGAGGTATTATTTGAAAAGTCATAATCTGCTAATATCATTGTTCTGTTGAACTACGTGTAGCAACACTACATGTGAAGTTATAAGATCCTACTGTACGATTGTAACTGAAATATGCTGTAATTCTGGGTAACACCCACAACCTAGTTTTTCAGAGACAGACATACTCCAGCCAAGTGGTAAAGGGCCATCGCCTGTTTAACTGGCCATTCCCAGCAGGGGGAAAGTGTAAACAAGAAATTTGCATTTCATCACAGGGACGGGTGAAACCTCATGTCCACAAGAGACTGCTTGTCGCCTGCACCTCTGCTTTGGGTAATCCTCAAAGGAGGGAGAGGGGTATAAGAATGAGAAGCGCCTCCAACTCACCGCTCCTCCTCCCTTCTCTCTATTTGTGATAGCAATGAATACCTGAAGGACACTGAAGCAAGGGGACAGGGGTCACAGGCTGAAAGGAATTCCAGCCTGTGAACTGTTACATTTTATGGTGAGAGAGAGATATTTTGCTTTTAAGTTCACTTAGCTTGTTAAATTAGGTGTTGGCTTGTGTGTTTATCTTTTTATTTTTTTGTAACCAGTTCTGACTTTTATGCCTTATTACTGTAATCACTTAAAATCCATCTTTCTGTAGTTAAGACACTTAGTGTTTTATCTAAACCAGTGTGTGTTTGGATTGAAGTGTTTGGGAGCCTTCACTTGAGATAACAAGGCTGGTTCATAGTCATTTTTCTTTGATGCAATGATGGACTTTCTATGAGCTTGTGCTGTCCAGGAGGGAACTGAGCAGTACAAGATGTACAATGTACATTAGCGCATTTCTGGGGAACAAGGCTGGGACTAAGAATTTGTGGGTGTTGCCCTGCATATGATTAATGAGTAGCTAGGTAGTAGCACTCAGTACTGTGTAGCTGGGACCAAGTTACATGTTGGAGGCTGTGTGAGCAGAACCAGGAGTGGTGGCTGTTCACCAGCAAAGCACCGTAAAAGGCGCCCCAGACTAGAGAATTAAGGGAGCACAGCTGTTCAACAGTTCAGATTGTATCCTGGGGAATGTCACACTCAGTCATTGCGTGCGTGATAACCTCTGGTTCCATCCACATAAGAGATGTCTATCAGAGGACATTTCACTGACATGCATGTCACATGTCACAGAATGTGTCAGGAAACTGTCCTATTGCATGCTGTTTTTCAATGCCTGGTTCCCTCACATATGTGGCTAGAGCCTCAGGTGATGTAAATCCATGTAAGTCAATGGAGCTATGCTGATTTGCACCAGATGGGGACAGAGTCATAGAATCAGAATTTAAGACCAGAAGGGACGACCAGATCATCTACCCTGTCCTCCTGTACATCAGAGGCCATCAGCACCACCCAGCACCTGCACACTAAACCCAACAATCAAAATTAGACCAAAGTGTTACCGCCCATAGGAGACAAGGCTATTATGTGCCACAGACAGAAAGTAGGAGGGACCAAGGTGCATCAGTCCCCAAGGCCCCTGCAATGGCAGGGAACATAAGAACGGCCATACTGGGTCAGAACAATGGTCCATCTAGCCTAGTATCCTGTCTTTCAGAAGTAGCCAATGCCTGGTGCTTCAGAGGGAATGAACAGAACAGGGCAGTCATTGAGTGATCCATCCCCTGTCATCCACACACAGCTTCTGGCAATCAGAGGTCAGGGACACACAGCGCATGGGCTTCCATCCCTGACCATCTGGGCTAATAGCCATTGATGAACCTATCCTCCATGAATTTATGTAATTCTTTTTTGAACCCACTTATCGTTTTGGCCTTCACAACTTCCCCAGCAATGAATTCCAGAGGTTGACTTGCATTGTGTGAAGAAGTACTTCCTTTTGTTTGTTTTAAATCTGCTGGATATTAATTTCATTGGTGGATCCCTGGTTCTTGTGTCATGTGCAAGAGTAAATAATGCTTCCTGATTCACTTTCTCCTAGCCATTCAATTGTATAGACCTCTTTCATATCCCCCCTAGTTATTTCTTTTCCAAGCTGAAAAGTCCCAGTCTTTTTAATCTCTCCTCATACGGAAGCTGTTCCATACCCTTAATCATTTTTGTTGTCTTTCTCTGTACCTTTTCCAATTCTAATATATCTTTTTTGAGCTATATTAGAATGAAGTGAGATACATCTAGATACTCCTGGCAAGTGACCCTCACCTGCACACTGCAGAAGAAGGTTAAAACCCCCAAGGTCCTTTGCAATCTGACCTGGGGGAAAATTCCTGACCCCACATACACAATCAGTTAGATCCTGAGCACATGAGCAAGAACCAGCCAGCCAAGCACCTGAGAGACAGAATGCTTGGTGCCACATCAGAGCCTTGGCCCTCCCTGCCCAATGTCCCATCTCCAGCTGTGGCCGTCCCTGATGGTTCAGAGACAGGAGATTAAAAAATCCTCCCAGAATACACTGGAAGGGGCAGGGGATGAATTTCTTCCTGACCCCTTATGGTCTCTGGCTGAAATCCTAAAGTATGAGCTTTAGGAACATAACACATAAACCAGAAGTGAGCCCAGGGCTGTTGACAAGCAACCCTGTTCTACAATCGCATTCATAAATTTGTCCAGCCTTCTCTTAAAACTAATTAAGTTCTTTGCCCCCACAACTCCTGTTGGGAGGCTGTTGTAGAACCTCGCCCCTCTGATGGTTAGAAACCTTTTTCTAATTGCCAGCCTGAGTTTGTTCATGGCCAGTTGATATCCATTTGTTCTTGTGCCAACAGTGTCCTTTAGCTTAAATAACTCTATGGGATCTGGCCCACTGACTTCAATGGACTCTGATTCACACAAGCTATGG